CATATTTAATTTAATTAGTTAAATCAAAGCAGTTATAGTTGACATGCTTTAAAACAGATTCAAAATGTACCAAATTGATTTCAAATTGTTTTTGCATCAAATCCAAATTGGATTTGGATCGGATCAAATCAAATCAAATTCAGATTTGAATTGGATCGGATCAAATCAAATCAAATTCAGATTTGAATTGGATCGGATCAAACTGTTATAGTTTCAAATTGGATCAGATCAGTTTAAAATGAATCGGATCCATATTCGATTCGTATTTATAAAAACTGGATCGAATCAAATCTAGTTAAAATCCGATCTGATTCGATCCGTTGTGATCACTACTTTAGGTATTAAATAGTTCTGATATATTTTTTATTAATGTTATTTTTAATTATTTCTTATTTTTATTCTTTTATTGACACTTATTTTAATCTATCATTTATTTTTATTCTTCTGGTATTCTTTTTGTTATTTAGAAATAGGATAATATGGATTTATTGATATTTATTTTTATTTTTCTTGCTATTGAAAATTTTGATTATATCTCAAATACTTTTGAATATATTTAATGAATGTATTGTGACTTTGTTAATCTAGAAATATAGAATTCCTGATGTGAACATTGCTTTTGAAGGATAGAATAATCAACAATATAGTAAATCAGTAAATTGAATAGGTTTTAAATATAAATTTATAAAATTTAATAAGCCAAATTAACGAAACTTTTATTGCATGTCAAAAGTTTAAATGCTGTAAGTAACAACCTTTTATGATTTAAAAATTTTCTCGAGTAAACCGGGGGGCCTGATGATCGTAACTATTTTCAATTGACGCTTCGATCACAATTGTACGCAGTTTCTTTTATCCGTAAATATAAAAGAAAAAAAAAATGTGATGGTAATAATATCGTGAGTTAAAAAAAAAAAAAAAAAAAAAAAAAAGGAGAAAAGAATCTAAAAACGCACATGATGATAATGAAAAAATCATTATAATACCGTATCATTATTGAAGGTTTCGAACAAACAAATTATGATCGAAAGGGCATATCGATATATTGATGATTCCATTCTTGCAATCACATAATCACAACAATGTAATCACCATCGTGTAACGATGCGCTCGTCGAGTTTTTGTTTGTGGTTTTGGAATGCAGTTTGTTTATGCGGTATCTGTTTTCAACAATGTCGCTTAAAATCATCAGTACCTTTTAAGCCCTATGGTAACATTTACGGTAACTCGTCAAACTTTCTCTCAAACTGTTTACGCGCACAACCGAATGATGAGAAGTTTGCATGTATGCATTAACCAGTTAGAGATTCAGGTGATTGCAGCAATAGGAGAGTTCTAATCGTCATCCGAGTTATTTTTTTCTTCATTTTGCGCAATCACTTGTGAGTTTTATGCATACAACACTTTGTGCAACTTCGCAATCTACAATTTTTTTTTTCATCATATGTCAAATTTTCGGAGTATAAAACAAAGATGTTGCCAAATAAATGTTCCATTTTCAAACGCCTTATGCAAGTCCTGCACGAAAACTCTCACGATCGATACGCTGAAATACTTCGTGAAATGAATTTTCTTAACATTAATGTCTCCTTCTTTCTTAGTCTGAAGCCTTTCTCTAAGCCATTTCCAACTTTAATCCAGTATCATCATCTTAAAAACCGGAAAAACTCAGAATTGGTCTGGACACGAGCAAACTTTTTTTTTTTTTCAGAGAAAATCTCGTCATTTTTGTAAAAAATATTATATAAGAAGGAAAAAATTCCCATAATCTTGTTAATTTGGCCTAAAACAATAGTGGAATGAACAATTGGCCCGTAGATAAAATCTTTAAATAGAAAAAGTTAACAAAAAACGAAATCAATTATCATAATTATCTGCTAATTGTTAGTAACATTGTTGAATATAATACCTTAAATTTCACGTAAATCTTCGTATCATTTGTCATCGCTTAGGACCACAAAAAATTTTCGACAAAACATGTCATTCACTCAAAAAATAGACTATGATGGAAATGTGACGTTATCAAAATTTTATTCATTTAGTTATCATTATATCTCATCTGCACAACCTTCATCCCCGCGCGGTAAAATCATCTCTTCGCTTTCGCAGAATGCACCTAAAGGTTACATAGATATCACGAGCACATGCTCTTTAATATCACTCAATCTCGTTAAGTCGCATGATCTCGAAGGCTTGGTGAAAAGAAGTTGGGATCAAAGAAGTCCCACTTTAAAAGAATCATCCCGAGTCAAAAAGAGACAACTATTATCGTTAAAATCTAGATTTCACTCGGGGAAGCGACAACCCTTTTTCAATTCAAAGTCAATCGTTTCAAAACGAACCAAAAGGAAAAGTGAGGAATATTGGATAAATCTTGAAAATAATAGCATCTTTTACAAGAGTGATCACGAAGATCAAGAGCATGACGGTAACAAAGAATCCAATGAACTCAGAAATGGGGGAGCCGAAGCTCATAGGGGCGGGAAAAATGATACCCAAATTTTGACACTATTGGACAAACACAAGAATCTGGAGATTGTCGGGACACTTTACGTACGTGTGCTTATAGGTCCCGAAGAAGAGGAAGAAGAGTGGGAACCCTTGTACATGGTGGTTGTCAAAAATATGGACGAACTAGGGGTTGGGGAATTAGATAATATTCCAGGCTCGGAAATGGCAGAGTTCAGGCTGGGAACGGATTATTTACAAGACATAGACGTTGATAACATTTGCTATTCGTATCTTCCAAAACTATTGTTTGAAAATGGGGTTTCCATTAGTTTGTTTGACGTTAAAAAAGCTGATGCCGTAAGTGGAAAAGGTACTTGTCAGGTTTTTTTGGTTAGTTGATTGTCGGTATTTCTGTAAATTCACTCTTTACTATACATTAGGTTATGGAAACATCGAGAGGTCATCGGAAAGTAGCAATAGCGAATCAGAGGAAGAGTTGAATTCGGTAAACAGCAATGCTATTAAGATCAAATCCGAAACTAAGGATGATCTCAACATTGTCGATACCGAGAATTTTGCAAAACCTGAAAAACCTGATCAAATAATTACGCGATCAAATTCTTTATCACAATCTCCAATTACTACTTCTACTGTGGTTAAGAATGAGGAAGAGTCTCAACCCGATTCCCCCCAAAATTTAATTGATCCCCGTGAGGGACCATTGGAGGAGAATAGAGAGGACTTATCTCGGAGTCCCTTGACAATATCATCGTCATTTGAAATTTCAAATGGATCATATAATGCGGAAGAACCTAAACCCGCCAAACCAACGATCCAACCGGATAAGAAGATATTCGAATCTGAAACCCCAAACAATACCAATTACTCTCACGCTGTTATAATACAGCCGAATTGGGTTGGCATGCCCCTCGCCATTGTCATGCATCACTTGCTATCTAATGTTTCTACCTCGAACAAATTTCTTATTTCATCCATCGGAGTCCAGCAACCTATAATGGATGCGTACAAATTCCCACGGGAGACGGTCGGAACCCAAACTTGCTTTTCTAATGAAGGTGCCCGATTACAGGTATCGCAATCCACAGTATCCACACAAACAACCACTATAATGGACGGTCCCGTGGCGATGCCACAGTCTCAGGCTTTAAAGGTTTCACAATCAACTCAGACTCTCCCACAACCTTCACGATCAACTCAAACCCTCAAAGTTTCACAAACTTCACAGTCAATCCAGACTTCGGAAGTTTCTCAACTTTCGAAAGAATGTCAAACTCGGTCATCAGATATGGTTTCAGTTAAAGTTCAGGCATCACCCGTCACTCCTATCTTTTCTCCTCCGCCAGAAGTATCCGAGGCATCTAATTCAACACAAAGGAAGGAGTTCGAGGTTAAGAAAAAGGCCGAGAAAACAAAACATCAAGTGAAAATAGTTAGGAATGGTAAAAAAAGAAGTTGGACGGTCTCAATGTTGAGCTTTATCGTATTTCTCTTTATATTTTTTGGAATAGGAGTGATAATAATTGAGAAGTTGGGAAATCAGGAACTTAATTATTATTAATCTGTTATTACGGAAAGTTTCGTTAGAAGCTTCAGAGTAGATTTATTTTATTGTTGGTGTCTTCGTTGCAAATTATGAGTGTAGGTGATAGGATGTCAGGAATAAAATTTCTTAGTTAAGAGAAAAGATTAATTGTACACAAGAGGGATTTTTTTTTTTTTTAACCAAACAACAGTAGGCACGTTCGCTTCAACAATCGATACTTTTTTTATTAAAGTAATGCGAAAAAAAAAAAAAAAAAAATGTAAAGAAAAAAACGTAATTCAAATCGTTCCTATTCGTGACCGTTTTTCGCTTAGCTTTATTCAAATTCATAAGGTAGTATGGATATCTTTGTAATAGCAAAAACATTCCTGGAATTATTCTTGAATTAATATAATAATACATAGGCAGTGTGGTTAATTGTAAATACTGTATATACTTTGTTTATTACAATTACAATGGATCTTGAGTTTTCTTTCTTTCTTTCTTTTTTTTTTTTTAGAAATCAGACCTTGGATATTCTGCACATTGAACTTACAAATATTTGCATAAACGAATTAATACAATGATGACTTTATTCAATGCCATTCGTTCCATACAAAGGCAAAAACCACACACAGCATTCCTGAAATTGTAATGGGATTGTTGATTGATTTTTGGAAGAAAGGTGAGAATGAAAATAAAAATTATTAGGAATATCGCTGCTTCTAACAAGGCAATATCACAATCATCAACCGTGCAGTATTTACCTGTGTACATTTGCCATTGTTTCTTGATAATAAACCACAACTTAATCTCTTGTTCTGGTTTGTCCAGATGAAATGTTGCCACATTTCCATTATCAAACACTGTCACTAATCGATTGTTAGGGGTGTGTTGAAATAAAAAATTAATAATAATAATTTCAAATAAACAATCGTGTTAATATGATAATTATGATCTTCATACTTACGCAATATATTTCCTGTAACATTCTTTCCAACATTATCCACATACGACTTGGAAATATTTATTGATTTCACTGCTATTATGTCCTATTATTTATTTTTATTTTTGGAAAGAGGCAAATAAACAAATATATATATTAATTGTTTAAATTATGTTCCTTTTAATTATTGCCAATATCCTGATACCAAAAATGAAATCAGCTCACCAATTCAGAATGGCTGATGAAATCTAAATATGTCAATGTAATAACCATTCTCAACTCCCAATTATCCCCATTGGTATTCACTTCATGGTTTGCGGTTTTGGCATGATGCTTGTCTCTCGTTGGCTTGTCGAACCAACCTTTTTTGGTGTGCATTGATGATGATAAGGGGAAATGATGTATATCGGCTGCACCTCGTTTGTATATTAGAACGTAATTTTCCTTTCGTATAAGGGATTTTTGGAGAACTTATGGTTAATAAAGTTTTGACATCCCGAATTAATGCCCTGCATAAAATAACAACAACAACAATAATAAATAAGATAATAACAGCAGTCCAATGGTAGAATTCAAGTCACCTGGGTTACAAGTAATAATAAATTTCCATAGGAATTTATCTCGGTCTCTATTACTTGAAACGGCCATTCTTCGAGTACCGGCAAATATTCGCTACGAACTACATATGCCTCTTTACTTTGAGAGTCCTGTTTGGAATCCGTGGAAGCCACATCACTGTAATCAAATGTAAACAATACATTATTCAAGGCGATACATATCGTAGTAACATTACGAGCGGTTACTTGTATGTAATTTATTTATATTTTTTATATATTTATATTTATATTTATATTTATATACATATATATATGTATATATATTTTTATTAATAGAAATATTAGATAAATGTGCATTAAAAAAAAGTGCCAAAAAATCATGTCTTTGGAGTGGCTTACCAACAATTGGTTTCGGAATCGTGATAGGAGATGTTAATGTTAAGCCACGCATAAAGTCGAACTGTTCATAATCAGCTTTTTTAGTTGTTGAAGGTGTATACTGCTTGAGCATTAAAAGAATCAGAAAATATAACCTATGCCCTATTTTTTGGAGGTCAGGTCAAAAGTAAACAATAAAAAATTTCCGTATACCGTGATTAATTTCTTTTGTCGCCAATTTGATGTTCGTGATCCCCCCGTGTCTTCCGATAAAGATGAGTTATGTATGACCGTAACTTGAAATGTCCAGGATTCTTCATTTGCCGCGATTTCTACTTGCATGACGCGTATTACGCCTGGCCTTGTTAACCAAAAATTTAATTAGCTAAAGAGATAGAAATAATTAAACGGTAATGAAGGTTGTAAAAAAAAGAAGCCAGTATTTCCATTCGTGTGGTAAAATTACTCACGCGGCATAAACGCGTCGAAAAGTCGCGGCTTTCCGTGCCAGAATTTCTTGTTTCGTAAATCCTAAGTACCCAATGGGATCAGACAAGTGCATGTGTGTGCAACAATAATGTGGTCTTCAATACGAACTTAAAACAGGCCCAGCCTCGCTAGATTTAATAGTCAGCGCCTCATTTTTTTTTTTTGCAATGTCAAAAACATTCCGGGGTATTTTAATAGTCCGAAATTTTGCATCATCAGGACTCCTAAAACGCAGCAATATCTCTTTAGGTAAAGCAAAAATTAAGTTGCGCAATAATAGTTACCTCGAATATAATATCAACGAGTTTTCAACATGAAAAGACACGATCTTGGTAGTTCCCGGCAATATTAGATCTTGGTATTTAAACGGAAGAGTTAGGTGGCATGTGTGATGTGAATTCTTCAAACAATCCTCTAAACCACCGGACACATAATTGATCGAATAAGCTCGTGTTTCTTCTAGAGAAATTCTACAACAATGCTACCTATGAACCTTACCGGGATCATCAAGATCACTCTCTTTATTCTCAACATCTCCTAAATTATATAACCTCAAGATATATTGAATTTCCTCATTGGCTTGAATCTGATACAATATCGCCAACGCGTTGTCCTCATTATATTCCGAATCTGATGTTGGGTTCGGATTGTTTTTATGGTAGTAACTCGATACGTGGGTTATCGGCCCTCTTAAGCGATGAATGTACAGAAGCTGCCACTCTGTTATGTAATATTTTGGGAAATGAAGGAATCACATTAGCGACGACTTCGTCTGAACAAATGATCCATTACCTAGATGACGCACGATTATTCGGATTGACTTTATTCTCAGGTAATAAAAGTGGATGTAGTGGCCGCTTGTATTGTTTGATTAGTCCTGCGAACAGAATTAACAAGAGTTAGTTTTTAATAAGGGAAGAAAGAATCAGAAAATAAATCCACGAAATGTCAGTCGATCCCTTCCTCTCCTGGAATTCAACTAGTTTCCGGGATCACATAACATACCAAAAACATCATCCACCAATCCAGACTCATATTCCTTCCACATAGCCGTCAAATAAACCCATCCGTCTTGAACATATATAAACACTTCATCTGGTTTTAAAAACCCCGAATTTCCAAATATCACGTCTTGAGCGTATACAATATTTTGGGGGTATGGGTAAGGCGCGGAATGTAGCGAGATTATCCAATAAATGAATGTTATCCCCAACACCAACATCACCAAAGGTCGATATTGTGCCATTTTCCCGATGGTAGCTAGCTTTTTACTTAGATGTTTTCGATTTGATTAACAACCGATTTATAAATTGTGGAATTCCCTTATTCAAAGAATGAATTTTCGGCAAGAGGTTCAAGAATCAATCGTACTATATTTTCATCATAATAATTAGTACATTTTTTTCGACCTCCCGAACAACGAATCTCTAATAAATGACGAACCTGGTGGAAATTTTTAGCAGATCCATGGTATATTTGTACATATGCATGCAAATCCTGTGTACGGTGTGTACGTAATGATCACATGCATTTGGGCTCGAGCTTCAAGATCGAAAGATAAAATATACAGCAAGAAATAATGAGTATCATACATTTAATTATATTTTATCAATCGGTTTAAGCAAAGCAAGTAACTTTTTAAAAAAATTTTTTTTTAAAAAAAAAGATATACATTGATTTGATTTTTTGAAGTTGATTCATAGATATCTTTAAATTTCGCATGCATTATTTATTAAAAAGAACTACTATAGAAATTAAATATTTCAAGTTAGTATTTAATTAAATATTTACAATGCAATATTATATAAACGATTCATATAATAGTTATTGCACATTATCAATCAAAGAATCATATTACTTTAAATATATAAAAAGTCTACTAATTTAATTTAAACTAAACAAAAAAAAAAGTCTTAACTAAATATTCTAAAGTCAGATTTAAAGAACAATATTTTACTTACCTGATAGATTGATACTAATAATCTCGATTATCAAGATTATTATCAACAGTTTATCATTATTCTAAAATAATAATTTACTAATTAATATATTGTAAAAAAATAAAACCAGTTTAAAATTTTTTTTAAATATTCTTATTCAAGTTGACAATTTTTATTAAAAGAATTGGTCTAATTAAGATATTATTTTTTTTTGTTTTGAATAATTTAAAAATTTATTCTTTTCTATAAACTTTTTAAGAATATTTGAAAAATCTATTCTTTTATTAATATAAAAAATCTACTTATTATATCTTTTAATTAATATTATATTGTGAAAAAATTTGTTTAATTATTGTAAAATTAAAAGGTTTTTTTAAAAACTTGTTTAATTAAAATAACCTTAATTTTTTTCTCAAAAAAACTTTTTATTGTTTGAAAAATTAATTTAATAAAAAATAAAAACTAATGCATTATATAATTTTTTATTTATCTTTGATATTATAATTATATTTCTTGAAAACTTGTTAAGTTAAAAAAAAACTTTTTTATAAATAATTCTTTTATTATTATTATTATTATTATTATTATTTTATTGTAATTAATAGAAAATTGTTTATATTTTAGTAATTAATATATTTTTTTTATATTAATTAATTATATTTAATAAGAATTATTTTATTTTATTTTATTTTTTTTAAGTATCTGTAACCAGACTAGATTGTCAGTTTATTAATCAATTAAAAACATAAGTACATTTTTATTCGAGCAGCATGATATATATTACAACTAAACTATTATTCTAATCTAACTAACTTGTCTTAAGCATAAAAGCCTCTAAGCTCAACCTTGAGGACAATATTTTGCTCCTCAGTGTCTTTGGGTAAAAACCCTCCTAATCCATTGCATTATTGCCAGCAGGTTGTCACTACCTTATGTCTAACCAAGCTACTAGAATATAAAAAACTACAAAAAAATGTATTGAAAAAAGGAAAGAAAAAATATTTAAAAATGTCTAAGCAGATCACAAGAAAATGAAAGAAAAAAAAATGAAAAAAATATTTCCAGCTTCCTCCAAAGACCTATTTCTCAAGACCTCTTCTATATAAGAAATATCTGATTGGGATATCTTTTCTTTTTCTGACCATCTGAAGAACTTATTCATTCTTGATCTTAATTTTCTTCTTGTGTACCATTTGAGGAGACTTATCACTTAGTAAGAGCCTTTATTTCCAGAACACACTTAGTCCCAACCTTCTTTGGACAGTGATTTTTTATCTATCTGTGATAGAGAGATAACTTATGATAGATCCCAGGTTCTTATGTGACTTAGTAAGAACTAGGTTATGTTGTTTTAGTATAATACCTTCCAGTAGCCATATCTAATTAAAGGAAATTTACTGGTATACATCTTTCATTATTCAAAAGGCCAGATTTTCTAATAATCTTTTTGCCTTGTAATGATGGGAGGTTAACAATAGTGGTGAGGATCCTCTTGATTGTGATATCTTTCAACAACTTTTAGGAAAATACATTCTCAACTATAATCAAAGGATTGGAGCTTAATATTGTGATCAAATTTATATTTGACTGGTGTGTCCAAGTGGAATTGCTTTTAAAAGGACAATTCCCAAAGAAAGAAT